TTTTATTTATTTATTTTTTTCATTCTCACCCGAGGACATTTTTCCATTTTTTTGTTCGAATAGAGTGGGAGGGAGAGAGAGGAAGAGAGAGAGAGAGAGAGAGAGAGAGAGAAACATCGACGTAAAAGGGATACATCGAATGGCTGCCACCCACACAACCAATCAGGGCCGGGGACAAAATGCAACCAAGGTACACGCCCTTAGTGGGAACCGAACCTGGGTCTCTGTGGACCACAGGCCAACGCTCTAACCGCTGAGCCAAACCAGCCAGGGCTGTTGCTTCTTTATAATTGTAATTTTGCTACTGTTATGTCTTAGGCGACCCCTGTGAAAGGGTCGTTTGACCCCCAAAGGGATAGTGACCCATAGGTTGGGAACCGCTGAAATAGACATCTCTGCAAACAAGACATACAAATAGCCAAGAGACTTATGAAGAAATGCTCAACATCACTAATCATTAGAGAGATGCAAATTAAAACAACAATGAGGTATCACCTCACACCTGTCAGAATGGCTGCCATCAACAAATCACCAAACAACAAGTGTTGGCAAGGGTGTAGAGAAAAGGGGACTCTAGTGCACTGCTGGTGGGAATGCAGACTGATGCAGCCACTATGGAAAACAATATGGTGTTACCTCAAAAAATTAAAAATTGAACTTCCATTTGACTCAGTGATCCCACTTTTAGGAATATTGCCTAAGAATCCTGAAACACCAACCAGAAAGAATCTATGTACCCCTATGTTCATAGCAGCACTATTTACAATTGCTAAGATCTGGAAACAGCCCAAGTGTCCATCAGTAGATGAATGGATAAAAAAGCTGTGGTACATATACACAATGGAGTACTATGCAGCTGTAAGAAAGAGAGATCTCTTATCCTTTGAGATGACATGGAGGGACCTGGAGAGTATCATGCTAAGTGAAATAAGCCAATCAGAGAAAGACAAATACCACATGATCTCACTTATTTGTGGAATATAATGAACAAAATAAGCTCATGAACAAAATAGACCCGGAGACATAGTAGTAGGGTACAGACTGACAAACCTTAGAAGAGGGGGACGGGAAGAGATAAACTGAAGAACTTATATGCATGTATGGGTAATCAGTGAACATAGACAACAATGCTGGAGTGAGGGTTGGGATTGGGAGGAGGGTGTCATGGGAGAAAAATGAGAAACATCTGGAACAAAAATAAATTAATAAACAAATATATATTTTAAAAGGAAAATATTGTCCTGGCTGGTTTGGTGCATCAGTTAGAGCGTCAGCCCACGGACCAGAGAGACCCCGGTTCGGTTCCCATTAAGGGCACGTACTTTGGTTGCAGTTTGTCCCGGCCCTTGTTGGGGTTGTGTGAGTGGCAACCACTCGATGTGTTTCTCTCACATCAATGTTTCTCTCTCTCTCTTCCTCCCTCTCTCCCTTCCATTCTATCTGAAGATAAATGCAAAAACATCCTCAGGTGAGGATTAAAAAAAAAAAAAGAAAAACACTGTGACTCAAAAAATGGGCAAAGGAATAGATATTTTCCCAAATATTTACAAATGGTCAAAAACCACCCTGGCCAGTTTGGTTCAGCAGTTAGAGCTTTAGCCTGCAGTCCGGAGAGACCCGGGTTCGGTTCCCGCTAAGGGCACGTACCTCGGTTGCAGTTTGTCCCCAGCCCTGGTTGGGTCGTGCGTGTGGCAAGCACTCGATGTGTCCCTTTCACATCGATGTTTCTCCCTCTCTCTCTCCCTCCCACTCTATCTGTACAAAATATCGAAAAATGTCCTCGAGTGAGGATTAAAAAAAAAAGAGCAGATTGTTGCCCCACTAGTGTGGCTCAGCGGTTGAGCGTCAACCCATGCACCAAGATGTTGCTGGTTTAATTCCTGGTCAGGGCACATGCCCAGGTTGTGGGCCCGATCCCCAGTGGGGTGCATGCAGGAGGCAGCCAGTTGATGTTCTCTCTCATCAATGTTTCTATCTCTCTCTCCCTCTCCCATCCTCTCTCTCTAAAAATCAATAAAAGAAAAAAAAAAACACAAATGGTCAAAAACCATAGGAAGAAATGCTCAACATCACTAACCATCAAGGAATCAAAGTATATCCATTAGGATAGCCACTATCAACAAAACAGAAAACAACTGTTGAGGAAGTGGAAAAATTCGAATTCTTATACAATGTGGGAATGTAAAATGGTGTTGCCACTTTGGAAAACAATAAGGTGGTTCCTCAAAAAATTCAAAATAGCCCTGGCCAGTTTTTCTTAGTGTTTAGAGCATTGGCCCGCAGACTGGAGAGTCCCGGATTTGGTTCCCGCTAAGAGCACATATCTTGGTTGCAGTTTGTCCCCGGTCCTGGTTGGGGTCGTGTGGGTGGCAACCAGTCAATGTGTCTCTCTCACATTAATGTTTCTCTCTCTCTCTCTCCCTCTCTCTCTCCCTATTGCTCTATCTGAAGATAAAAGCAAAAATGTCCTTAGGTGAGGATTAAATAAATAAATGCCAGTATTTAAAAAAAAATTCAAAATAAAACTGCCATGTGATACAGCACTCCCACTTGTGTGTATATACCCAAGAGAATAGACAGCAGAGTTTCAAAGAGATATTTGTACGTCCATGTTCATTGCCGCATTATTCATAATAGCTAAAAGGCACAAGCAACCCAAGTTGCTCAATGACAGATGAATGGACAAGCAAAATGTGGTATGTATATGTATGTGTGTGTGTGTGTGTGTGTGTGTGTGTATATATATATATAGATATATATATATAGATATAGATATATATATATATATATAATGGAATATTATTTAGCCCTAAAAAGAAAGTAAATTCTGACATATGCTTCAACTTGGATGAACCCTTGAGAACATATGCTAAGCCACTTACAATGGAACAACACAATTTATTTATGTAGACTGATGCTTTGAACTTGTAGTCCAGATTTTTCTCTGTCAATTAATTTAGAAAATATTTCCTCTTGAAAAAATTATAAATGTGAAAAGATGTTCAAAGTTACTAGTCATTGGAGAAATGCAAAACAAAACCACAATGAGATACCACTTCAACCCATTAGAATGGCTATATTTTTTTTAAGTGATGGACAATAACAAACATTAGGGAGAATGTAGAGAAAAATTAAACCCTCATCCATTGCTGGTAGAAACGTAAAATATTAGTATAGCCTTTTGGAAAACAGTTTGTTAGTTACTCAAAAAGTTAAGCAGAGAATTACCATATGACCTAGCAATTCCATTCCTTAGTATATACTCAAGAGAACTGAAAATATACATTCATATAAAAACTTACATATTTTATGCATGAAGGTGCATAGTAGCATTATTCATAATAGCCAAAAAGTGGAAAGCAGTCAAAAGCCCATCACTAATGAGTGAAGAAACAAAATGTGTTATATCTAGTCCTGGCCAGTTTGGCTCAGTGGTTAGAGTGTTAGCCTGCAGACCAAAGGGTCTTGGGTTTGATTCCCAATCAAGGGCATGTACCTGGGTTGCAGGTTTGATACCTGGCCCCAGTAAGCGTGTGTACAGGAGGCAATTAATTGATGTGTTTTTCTCACATTGATGTTTCTTTCTCTCTCCCTCTCCCTCCTCCCTCCCTCCTACCCTCCACTCTCTCTAAACATCATTGAAAAGTATATCCTCGAGTGAGGATTAACGACAACAAAGAAGTCTATCAAAAGTACAGCATAGGGAATATAGTCAATAATATTTCGATAACTATGCATGGTCCCAGGTGAGTACTGGAAATATCAGGGGAAACACTTTGCAAAGTATATGAGTGTTTAATCATGCTGTACATCTAAAACCAATGCAAAATAATACTGAAAGTAAAGTGTAATTGAAAAATTTTTTTTTGCCCTGGCCAGTTTGGCTCAGCAGTTAGAGTATTAGCCTGTGGTCCAGAGAGACCCGGGTTCGGTTCCTGCTAGGGGCACGTGCCTCAGTTGCAGTTTGTCCCTGGCCCTGGTTGGTCATGTGGGTGGCACTCGATGTGTCCCTTTCATGTCGATGTTTCTCTCTCTCTCTTCCACTCTCTCCCTCCCACTCTGTCTGAACAAAAAAAAAAAAGGAAAAATGTCCTCGGGTGAGGATAAAAAAAAAAAAAAAGAAAATTGTTTTTAATTTTTAATAAAAATAATGAAAAAATATCTATTAAATATTAGATTGTGGCCCAGCCGATGTGGCTCAGTGGTTGAGCATTGACACACACACTAAGAGGTCTCCTGTTGGGTTCCTGGTCAGGGCACATGCCCAGGTTGTGGGCCCAAACCCCAGTGGGGCCATGCAGGAGGCAGCGAATCGATATTCTCTCTCATTGATGCTTCTCTCTCTCCCTCTCCCTTCCTCTCTCTCTCTAACATCAATAAAGAAAAAAAATCAGATTGTGGTGATGGTTGCGCAACTCTGTAAATACAGTATAGTAAATGCCACTTTACACTTTAAATGAGTGAATGAGATGGCAGGTGAATTATATCTCAATAATTAAATAAATACCTCAGAGGAGGAGGGCAGGGGTGGTAGGGTAGGGTGGGGTGGGGTGGGGAATGAATGAGATTAACCAAAGAATTTATATGCATATATGTGTAACCAATGGACATAGACAACACCAGGGGGCAGGACAGGATGGGAAGGAGGGTGTCTGGAGGGGAAAAGGAGAAACAGGTGTAACAAAAATAAATTAATAAAGGCATTTGTTAAAGTCAAAAATAAAAATAAATTAACAATTTTTTTTTTTTTGGTATACAGTTCCATGAATTTTAACACATGTATATCTTCATGTTACCATCACCAAGATCAAAATACAGAACAGTTCTATCACCCCAGGAAACCTCCTTGTGTGCACCTATATTTGGACTCTGTTTCATTGATCTATGTGTCTATCCTTTCACTAATCAGGTTGGATCTTAAACAATAAAAACCTACTATTTATTATACCCATGTTGTACAAATAACAGTAACAACGACCACTGGGAAGATATTTAATTACCTCTTCATAATATACTTCTGCCATTTCAAAGTTCTCATTGACTTCTGCTTCAAATGCAAAGAGTCGAAGCTGTTCACTGCTCATATGAATGGTTGAGACAGCACCTTGGACATCATCTGGCATAGTCTTGTCAACATCAAGATATTAGGCAGGCAAAATGAAGCAATTATAAATAGGGATGTTTTATAAGAATAAACCAGATGTGAGACTCCAATTACGAGGTCTAAAATGATATTGAGATTTCTTACAGTCTTGCCAATACAGTAAGAGAGTGAGAGTAAACCAAGAAAGAAATATCAAAGGTGGAAGAGTATCTAAATACCAAGAGTCTTAGCTCATGGAAGTGGGTAAAAATTACATAGGGCAGAACTGCTTTCCTCAATCCTCAGGGCAATCAGTTGCCTCTGACTTCAAATAGCTTTCTTGATTTTCTCTAGTGTACAGGACAATTATAATTTTTTAGGTGTCATGACATGAAAAAAGTTGACATGCACTAATTAGAGTCTTCAAATATCAAAACAGGAGACTAATGGTAAAGCTATGGAAGTTTTTAGTGGGATGGATAGATAGATGATAGATAGATAGATAGATAGATAGACAGACAGACAGACAGACAGACAGACTCTACAAAGGAACCAGAAATGTAGGAGGACACCCAGAAATATAATATATACTCCTATATCCTATACTCCCAGATAGGAAAGCAAGTCTGGCATAATAAGCAATTTCCTGGGCCCTGGCAGGTTTGGCTCAGCGGTTGGAGCATTGGCTCAGAGAGTCCCGGATTCGGTTCCCACTAGGGGCACGTACCAAAAAAAAAAAAAAAAAGGTAATCTCCTGGGTCAGAACTCTGGCCAAGGACAATCTCTCCAAAATTCTTTAATTAGAAATAAAAATAATATCAGTGACTTTAACAAGTAGAGTTGCTAAGGGATGTGAAGAGTAAAGCTAAATTTAAGATGGACCAAAGAGAGCTTCTGATAATTGATTAATGCCTCTGTTCTTTGTTCTTTTTAATTTTGATGATCTTGACCTCCAAATCCTTTCAGTAACACACTTCCATACCCAAACCAAAAATGCTCTATCTCTACTATCTCACTCCTAAAACCCACATTATAAGCCTTCTGCCTTTTGGTCATTTAGTCCCCTTAAAACTGCTCTCCGACTTCATTTCCTTCACTTTCAATATTCCTATCATTCCCCAAGTGGATAAGCCTAGAACTCATGATCATCCACACATACTACTCTATCACCAGCACATTCAAGTCCCAGGCATACTCTCCTTCTTCTGCACTTGTCCTGGAAACTCCCAAATTAAAACACTCCTACTATCTGACCTCATTTTTAGATAGGAGCTGCTATCTGGTCCTTAGAAAAACTACGTAAATATAGAGATATCTGAGCTGCCACAGACTCTTCTGGTATTCAGTCTTAGCTGAAGGCCTTTAATATTCAGCAATCTATGTATGTGTCCTTGGTTAGCAACATATGCCATAAAGTAATGCAGTATTTACATTTTTTTTCTCTTTCTTCAAGCTTTTCATTTATCTTATCCCCTTCACTTTCAGTAAAGATGCTACTTCATAAAAGAAACATAAATCATTAGGCAAGAAATCTCTCAATTTTTGAACCCACACCTAAATTGTTTATTTCTTCATCCACCTTTTCAGTCTCAGAGAAAGGAGCATTGCTCTCCATTGATTTCCCCTTTTCCCTCTATTTTCACATTTCCCAACTCTGTTGACTTCTTTTCCCAAACCTAAAGGCTTTTTCATCTTTAAAAAAATCTCTGTAATTTCTAGCGACTACTTTTTCATTTCTTCCCTTCACCCTACAACTTTTTAAATTTATATTTATGTTTTCTAATCACTCATTTACTCCTCAATTTATTATCATTTGAATCCATTCCATTAGCCCAATAAAATTGCTACGTAATGGTTAACAAGCCTTAGCTGGTGTTTGAGCTTTGTTCTGTGCACCAAAAGGTTGCCGGTTCCATTACTGGTCAGGGCACATGCCCAGGTTGCAGGCTTGATCCCTGATATGGTTGTGGAAGAGACAGCCAATCCATGGTTCTCTCTCATTGATGTCTCTTTCTTTCTCAAATCAAAAACAAAAACACTTTTTAAAAAAAGGTTAACAATAACCTTCTTATTGAAAACTTTTCAAGTTGTTTCTCCCCACATCCCTGTTTTATTGATATATAATTGTCTTACATCACTGTATAAGTTTGAGGTGCACAGCATGGTGGTTTGACTTATATATATTATGAAATAATTACTGCAATGAGTTTGGTTAGAATCCATTATCTCATATAGATACATTAAAAAGAGAAAGCAAAAAGAAAAAATATATTTTTTTTCCTTGTGATGAGAATTCTTACATAAACTTTCATATATGTCATACAGTAGGGTTAACTATAGTTATGATATTGTATATTATATCCCTAGTACTTATCTATCTTATAACTGGAAGTTTGTACCATTGAACCAACTGCAACCCCTGATTTTGTTTTTCTTTAATTCCTAGGAATATTTGACAATGTTGACCACTTTTTCTTCTTAATTTTTTTCCCTTAGCATCTGTGACACCACTGACTTCTGGCTCTTTCAGTAATATTTTTACTCATCCATCCCTTGAATGTTGGCGTTTCCTAGGGTTCCACCACCAGGTCGCTCCTTTCTCTACTCAAGTTTTTCTTGGCAGCTTCATCTACGGCCATAGTTTAACTAGCATTTATATACTCATGGCTCCCCAAATTTCATCTCCAGCTCAGATCAAAATTAAATTCAACATCAATTGCCTCCCACCAAATTTAGTCATGTTGTGTTTCTTGTCCTGGTAAATGGTACTACCAGTTACCCAGTTACTAAGCCTTAAACTTAAGAATCTTTGACTTCTTTTCCTCCATACAATGTAATAATCAGTTAACCACCAGTTTCACCACCTCTAACCCATCCTACATACTTCTATCAGAGTCTTTTTTGTCCAAAGCCCCTCCACATTCCCAACTCCCCCACCAGACACTGGCTTCATCTCTTACTTCTCCGTCCCTCACCACTACAACCTCCACTCCTGAACTATATGCAGTTTCTATACATAGCATATTCTTCCAAGTTTCCAAGCCTTTTTGATGTTCCCTATGACTCAAGTGCTCTGAAACATTCACCTGGAAAACTTCTTTTTAGCTTTCAAAGCCCAATTCAAGGCACAGCTCCTCTGTAAATCCTTCCCTGAAAAGTCTCAGAGTAAAGTGTATCACTTTTTCTTCAGGTATCCCCTAACCTGCTCTGCCATGGACACTTACCTCACTCTACTGCGGCTATTTGTATGTTGTGCCTATCTCTACTAGACAGGGGCTCTGTGGGGGCATAAGGCAGGAGTAATTGCCATCTCATGCTCAGTTGCTTTCCAAATCAAATCATCCAGCTCATCTGTGCCCAAGGCAGGACTGTATCTTAGTCCTAGGATACTGGACACTCCTACCTCTTCCAGGAGGCTAAGGAAAGTGAGAAAAGTGATGGTGGTAGGGAAATAAGAAACAGCGAAGGAAAGAGCAAATAGAATAGGAGTTTGAGGAAGCAAAGCTGGTTAGAGACAGACTAACAGGGGGACAAAAAGACTGATTTTGTCATTGTTTTCAAATAAACCACAACTACAAAAATTTTAAAAATGAAAAAATGAAGGCAAGATTCAAGCTGTCAAATAATAGATATAAACAGACAAGTGGGAGGAAAACAGACCCGTACTCTCAGGTAGAAAAGGCAATTTGAAGTGTCATTGTCATTCAGGTATAATATCTGAGAACCCATAGTTTTTCTTTGTTTTAATTGTCAGTCTTAAAGACAAAAAGTGAGAATTGAACAACATTCACAGAATAAACAGAATGATCATTTTCAGTTCATAATTTAAATAGCCTATTTTATCTCTTTTTTTTACCCATCACATTACTGACAGTTATGAAATTAATTTTCTAGGAAGCTGAGAGTACACCTGTTCTTCCCAAAATTAGTCTTATAATTTAGGCAGCTTCATATTCATCTTTGTGTTTCAGTCCCTAGCACAGAGCAGATATGTCAATAAGTGTTTGTAGAATTAAGGAAGGGAGGAATTATTCCAAGGAAACCCTGATGTCCTATAGAGAAAAGGCAGGGCTCTTAGTTTTTGACCACCTACTTGGTTTAAGGCCACATGCATCTGATCCACCAAGAACACATAGAGCTCACTAATGAATGTCTGCAGTGTCTCCTGGCTTTCAAATGGTGTTGTTTTCAAGTACTTCTCTCTCACAATCTTTACCACAGCATGCTGCAAGAGACACAGACCAGCAGTCTAATAACACAGTCCAGCACCGTGCTGATGGCACAGGCCTCCCTTGAGCTTTGGTCTAAGGCTCATCAGAATTTCAGAAGGCAATTTATTTCTCCCTTGGTGATTCCTAAACTGTTGGCTCTCTGATTTCCCCCTAATTAACATACTCTTTATGACTTATTTTCTTGATGCCATCATCATCACTAATATGGTCAATGCAGGACTCATACTGTGTGAACGTCATAAAACTGAAAAAAACCTTAGCATTAAGTGTATGCATTATGTCTCTTGTGGTGGCCACATGATTCAAAGGAAAAAGGGTTGATTTGAGAATCTTGAGAATTGCCCTGGCCGGTTTGGCTCAGCGGTTAGATCGTCGGCCTGCGGTCCAGAGAATCTTGAGAATGGCATTCTAGTTCTAATTCTGCCACTATTCAACCTCATAAATTATTTTATACTTGGTACCTCAGTTTCCTCATTTGTTAAATAAATATGTACTTTTGGGATTACTATCTTATTTCAGAAGATTATTGTGAAGCCAAAAAGAAATAACAAGTGGTGTCCGGCTGGTGTGGCTCAGTGGATTGAGCATCATCCCATGGACTGAGAGGTCCTGGTTCGATTCCCAGTCAGGGCACATGCCTGGGTTAAGGGCTTATTCCCAGTTGGGGGGGTGCAGGAGGCAGCTGGTTAATTGTCTCTCTCACGTCAATGTTTCTCTCTCTCCCTTCCTCTCATTCTAAAAAATAAATTTAAAAAAATTTTTTTTAAAGAAATAACAAGCACTGGCCGATTTGGCTCAGTGGTTGGAGTGTCGGCCTGTGGACCAGAGAGGCCCAGGTTTGGTTCCCACTAAGGACACGTTCCTCGATTGCAGTTTATGCCCGGCCCTGGTTGGGGTTGTATGGGTGGCAACCACTCGATGTGTCTCTCACATGTCGATGTTTCTCTCCCTCCCTCCCCCTCCCTCCTCTCTCTCTCAAGATAAATGCAAAAAAATGTCCTCAGGTGAGGATTAAAAAAAAAGAGAGAGAGAGAGAGAGAGAGAGCCCTGGCCGGTTTGGCTCAGCGGTTAGAGCGTCAGCCTGTGGTCCAGAGAGACCCGGGTTCAGTTCCCGCTAAGGGCACGTACCTTGGTTGCAGTTTATCCCCGGCCCTGGTTGGTCGTGTGGGTGGCAGCCACTCGATGTGTCCCTTTCACATCAATGTTTCTCTCTCTCTCTCTCTCTCTCTCTCTCTTCCTCTCTCTCCCTCCCACTCTATCTGAACAAAAAAATGAAAAATGTCCTCGGGTGAGGATAAAAAAAAAAAGAAAGAAAGAAATAACAAGAGGTAAAGCTTAAAACACTAAACAAATAACATATTGCTATAGCCAGGACAGCTGCTGCTGCTTTTTGCCCCCTAAGCAAACATTATTGCCAGGTTTTATAGTATAAAGGTTTTATAACATAAAGCACTTTCCATGAATTATGTTATTTAATTCTCATAATGACCCCATGTGATAACAATATTATCTCTCATTGTTAGGCAAAAAAAAAAAAAAAATGAGACTCTTGATTAAGGTAATCGAGCTAGTAATGGTAGAATCAGAATCAAACTAAGACATGATCATGCCACCTACTGAGAACAGCCTCTTGCCTCCATGGATCTGTTGTTTTTATTTTATTACATGCATGTGATTTCTTTGTATTTATTTAGTACAGTAGAGGGCACATAGTAAATGTGCACAGAGAGGCAGTGCAATGTAGCAGTTAAGAATGTAATTTCTGGCCCTGGCCGGTTTGGCTCAGCAGTTAGAGCATCAGCCTGTGGACCAAAGGGTTGAAGGTTCCATTCCTGGTCAAGGGCATGTACCTGGGTTGCAGGTTAAAACCCTGGCCCCAGTCAGGGTTTTCAGGAGGCAATCAATTGATGTGTCTCTCTCACATCGATGTTTCTCGCTCTCTCTCCCCCTCCCTCCCTTCCACTCTCTCTAAAGAAAAAAAAATCAACGGAAAAATATCCTCGGGTGAGGATTAACAACAACAAAGAAGAACGTGATTTCTGAAGCCAGCCTGCCAAAGTTTGAGTCTTATCTTTAACCTTTACTAGCCCTGTGATCTTGGGCAAATTACTTAACTGTTACATTTCTCCATCTGTAAAATAGGGAGTACCTACCTCATAGGGTTGTTGTAAGGATTAAATTAATAAAATATGAAGCATCTTAAATGTATCTGGTATACAGCAAACACTCAATAAACATTAGCCATTATTATTCACAAAATTATTATTAAGTAAATATTTCTCAAGTCTTAGTGATTCTATGGACTAGGGAAAAGTTTGTAATAGGAGACAGATCATTAGTAAGGGAATCAGTCCCAGGTATAGAGTTTCTGCCTGCTAGAGCAACATGAAATCTGACTCAAAATCTGGCCTAGCCTCAAGTGAGGAATCAGTTTCTTAAAAGCTCACACTCTGAAAGGATACTGTACTATTCTGTGGCTCCGCAGGAGTGGAGCTTCTCCCACATTCTATCATGGGGAACATAGCTCTCTGCACCAATACCAAGAAAGGTGGGAGCACAGCCAAATGCAAGCACAGAAAAAAATATGTAGAGGAGATGCTTCATAAAACCCACAGAATAATTAAATAAATAAAAATTTACCTTGAGCTGTTCTTTGAAAGCAAAGTATTTTCCAGAGCAATTAAGTTCATAGTTGAGCTGGCACTTCTGTTCCTCCAGGGTTTCACTATCTATATCACTGTCCAGTTTGGCCACCTGTTTTCCAAACATCCTGTGATACTCATCCAGAATGACTCTGGAAATGCTCTTGATCTGCATGTGGTAGTCACTCACCGCCTAGAAAAATATAAAATGTCTGGTAAAGAGCCCTGGCCAGTGTGGCTTGGTTGGTTGAGCATCATCCCATGCACCAAGAGGTCACAAGTTTGATTCCTGGTCAAGGGCACATGCCTGGATTTCAGGCTTGATCTCTAGTAGGGGGCATGCAGGAGGCAGCCTATCACTGTTTCTTTTTCTCATTGATGTTTCTCTTTCTCCCTCCCTCTCCCTCTAAAATCAATAAAAACATATTTTTAAAAAATGTCTTGTAGCCCTGGCCGGTTTGGCTCAGCAGTTAGAGCGTCGGCCTGTGGTCCGGAGAGACCCGGTTCCCGCTAAGGGCATGTACCTCGGTTGCAGTTTGTCCCCAGCCCTGGTTGGGTCGTGTGGGTGGCAACCACTCGATGTGTCCCTTTCACATCGATGTTTCTCTCTCTCTCTCTCTCTCTCTCTCTCTCTCTCTCTCTCTCTCTCTCCCTCCCTCCCTCCCTCCCTCCTACTCTATCTGAACAAAATATCGAAAAATATCCTCGGGTGAGGATTAAAAAAAAAAAATGTCTTGTAAAGAGACCTTAAAGAGGTCAAGATGTGGAATAAAATTCTGAAACTGGATTGTGTTCTACATTCAATAATACCTTAGGTATAACTTTCCCTTTTCTTCCCAGCTCAGAGACCACCGACCAAAGATCAAACACTGAATACTGTTTGTTGTAAGTCACTGATCACAAATTGACACAGGAAGGAAAATATGTGAAGCTACAATTTCTCACCCCTTCTAAAAAGCACATTGAAGAATCCATGCCTTATTTTCAAATGATGCACTCAACACCTTATTACTTATATTTTCACCTTGGCATTAGCACTTGCCTTCTGAGCTCCTCCTGTCCTGCGGGTAAGAGGCGGCCTTGGAGGAATCATTTCCTTGACCCTACATCAGGAAACAACAACTTTATTATCTGAAGATTTATGTTCTCTTATTTCTCACCCCCAAAGAGTCTGGGTGGGGGAGATCTAAGATCTGTTCCCCCATCATACTTGAGCTGTGCTATTCTCTCATGTAAAAGCCTAGACATGAATGCCAGAACATTTTATAACTGTGAACTAGACAGGAAGGGAGCAAAGAAGCAGGTACTCAGAAAGTAGTTAAGTTACACTGTTAGCTAATTTGAGCCCTGGCTTTACATATTGTTTTAAAAACACTGCTTTGTACAAGGGGCTGCTGGACTCAGGTTAGAAAGAAATTGGTGTTATGATTTTAGTTGCACTCAGTAGAGCCTCTGAAAACAGTTTTGGAAATTTAAGTGGTACGGGCAAGTGAAAGCTTTTCTTCCCTCTCAATCTAGGTCACAATTTATAAGACTGCTTTAAATTATAATAATTATATTACACTTTATGGTGAGCAAAAATATACATTTTGTCATTATCAAACTACTTATGCCTAAACTTCTACCTTCCATTTTTGGACAGTTTACAACAACCTAGATGGAATTAACTTATAGCTTTTCCTCCTTATAGTTTCAGAGTCCTGCTAAAGTATATTGTACTCCCTTGGAGTTTACAATCAAATTCACAGTTTTTTAAATAAATACTATGTAATTTCTAATCTAATTTTATTTATTTTAATAGGTAATATATCCATGTGGTTCAAAGCTTCAGAGGTATGAAGCAATATATAATAAACTATCACCTTCCAACCCTGTTTTCCAACTACACAGTTTCCTCTCCAGAAGCAATGTTATTTATTCATTCATCCATTCAAAATATATACTGAGTGGCTCTTATCCATCGGGCACTTTTCTAGGTATTGGGGATAGGGCATTAAACAAAATAGGCAAAAATGCTTGCCCTCATGGAACTTATATTCTAGTGGGGAAGACAATAAACAACATAAATAATCAAGATAAATATGTTAGTGGTAGGTGCCATGGAGAAAAATAATGCAGGAAGGCAGAAAGACTATGTTGGGAGCTGGGGTGGTGAAGTGAAGAACCATATTTCATTAGAGAAAGACTTACACACTGAAATGATAACATTTATTATTGAATATATTAGGGTACATGTTTCAAGTGTACAACTCAATAAAACCTCATCTATATACTGCACTGAGTGCCCATGGTCCCAAGCAAACTCTTTCCATCCCCATTTTCCCATCCTTTGCCCGCCTCCACCTACTCCCCACCCCTTTTCCTCTGGCTATCACCACACTGTTGTCTGTGTCTATGTGTGTATGTATATATATATATATATATATATATATATATATATATATATATATAATTTTTTTTTTTGCTTAATCCTTTCACCTTTTTTCATCCAATCCCCCTCTCCTGACAGCTGTCAGTCTGTTTCATGTATCCATGCCTCCACTTCATTTTTGTCTATCACTTTATTTTATTCATTAGATTCCACATATAAGTTGTCTTTCTCTAACTTGCTTTTTCACTTAGAATAATAATCTTCAGGTCTATCTATGCTGTCACAAAAGGTAAGATTTCCAGCCCTGGCCAGTTTTGCTCAGCGGTTAAAGCAACGGCCCAAAGACTGAAGGGTCATGGTTTCAATTCCTGGTCAAGGGCACATACCTGTGTTGCAGGTTTATTCCCCAGCCCCAGTCAGGGTCATGCAGAAGGCACTGGAAACAATCAATAGATGTGTCTCTCTCACATCAATGTTTCTTTCTCCCCGCCCCCCATCCCTTGCATTCTATCTAAACAAAAAAATCAGTAGAAGAATATCCTCAGGTGAAGAGTTAGGGGGGGGAAAGGGTAAGATTTCTTTTTTTATGGCCTAGTAGTATTCCATAGTGTAACTATACCACAGCTTTTTTTTTTAATCCTCACTCGAGGACATTTTTCCATTTTTTGTTCAGATAGAGTGGGAGGGAGGGAGAGAGAGAGAGAGAGAGAGAGAGAGAGAGAGAGAGAGAGAGACAGACATTGATGTAAAAGGGATACATCGAGTGGCTGCCACCCGCATGACCAACCAGGGCCAGGGACAAACTGCAACCAAGGTATACGCCCTTAGTGGGAACCGAACCCGGTCTCTCTGGACCACAGGCTAATGCTCTAACTGCTGAGCCAAACTGGCCAGGGCTATACCACAGCTTTTTTATTCACTCATCTACTGATGGGCACTTGGGGCTGTGTCAGATCTTGGGTATTGTAAATACCTCTGCAGTGAACATAGGGGTGTATATATTCCTTTGAATCAGAGTTTTGGGTTTCTTCATGTATATTCCCAGAAGTGGGATCACTGATATCAAACTATACTGAAAGGCCATTGTAATCAAAACAGCCTGGTACTGGCACAAGAACAGGCATATAGACCAATGTAACAGAACAGAGAGACCATAAATAAACCTACAACTTTATAGTCAATTAATATTTGACAAAGGAGGCAAGGAATAAAGACAGTCTTTTTAAAAAGTGGTGTTGGAAAAATTGGACAGGTATATGCAAAAAAATGAAACTAGACCACCAACTTACACCATGTACAAGAATAAACTCAAAATGGATAAAAGACTTAAATGTAAGTTGCCAAACCATAAAAATCCTAGAAGAAAACATAGGCAGTAAAATCTCAGACATCTCTCCTAGTAACATTTTTGTTGATACATCTCCTAAGGGCAAGGGAAGAAAATAAATAAATGGGACTACATCAAACTAAAAAGCTTTTGCACAGCAAAGAAACTATCAACAAAATGAAAAGGGAACTCACTGTATGGGAGATCATATTTGCCAATGATACATCTGATGAGGGGTTAATTTCCAAAATACATAAAGAACTCATACACCTCAACACCAGAAATACAAAAAAAAACAATTAAAAAATGGGCAAAGAACCTGAATAGACACTTCTCCAAAAAGGACATACAGATGGCCAACAGATATATTTAAAAAATGCTCAAATGGAAGATCAATTTTTAATTTTTTGAGGTAACACCATATTGTTTTCCATAGTGGCTGCACCAGTCTGCATTCCCACCAGCAGTGTACTAGAGTCCCCTTTTCTCCACACCCTCGCCAACACTTGTTGTTTGATGATTTGTTGATGGCGGCCATTCTGACAGGTGTGAGGTGATACCTCATTGTTGTTTTGATTTGCATCTCTCTCATGATTAGTGATGTTGAGCATTTCTTCATATGTTTCTTAGCCATTTGTATGTCCTGTTTGGAGAGGTGTCTATTCAGTTCCTCTGCCCATTTTTTAATTGGGTTCCTTGTCTTCCTTTTGTTGAGTTGTATGAGCACTCTATATGTATTGGAAATTAACCCCTTATCTGATATTCCATTTGACCCAGTGATCCCACTTCTAGGAATATACCCTAAGAAGCATAAAACACCAATAAGAAAGAATATATGTACCCCCATCTTTGTAGCAGTACTATTTACAATTGCTAAGATCTGGAAACAGCCCAAGTGCCCATCAGTAGACGAATGGATCAAAAAGCTGTGGTACATATACACAATGGAGTACTACGCAGCGGTAAGAAAGAAAGATCTCTTATCCTTTGAGACTACATGGAGGGACCTGGAAAGTACCATCCTAAGTGAAACAAGCCAAACAGAGAAAGACAAATTTCATATGATCTCACTTATTTGTGGAATATAATGAACATAACAGTTTGAGGAATGGGGTAGTCCCAGAGACGCGGAAGCGGGGTACAGACTGACAATCCCCTAAGGAGTGGGGAGGTGGGGGAGGGATGAACCACAGAACTTATATGCATGTATGCATGAACAGTGGACATGGACAACAATCTGGGGAAGGGGCAGGGAGGGGAGGGGGAGGGGGGAATCAGTGGGGGGGAAAAGGAGAATCATCTGTAACAAAAATTAATCAATAAAAAATAAATTTAAAAAAAAAAGCTCAAATCACTAATCAGAAAAATGCAAATAAACCACAATGAGATATCACCTCACACCTGTCAGAATGGCTATCATTACTAAATCAACAAACAAGTGAGCAATTCCTCTGTTCTTTTATGTTGTTGTTCTTTATTCTTTTTAATTTTGATGATCTTGACCTCCAAATCCCTTCAGCAACACAGTTCCATACCCAAACAAAAAATACCCTACCTCTACTATCCCACTACCAGATCCCACATTACACAGACCAACAGTATGGTGACTACCAGAGGGAAAGTGGGGGTGGGAGGAGGCAGAAGAAAGTAAAGGGGAGATAAAATGGTGATGGAAGGAGACTTGACTTTAGGTGGTAAACACACAATACAATATACAGATGATGTAATACAGAATTGTACACCTGTAACCTATATAATTTTATTAACCATTGTTACCCCAATAAATTCAGTAAAAATAAAAATTTTAAAAAGGGTAAAAAATGGTATAAGCCCTGGCCTATGTGGCTTATTTGGTTACGCATCATCCACACACCAAAAGTTTGATGGTTTGATTCCTGGTCTGGGTACATGCCTGGGTTGCAGACATGATCCCCAGTAGAGGAGGTGCAGGAGGCAGTAGATCGATGTTTCTCTCTTGCATCAATGTTTCTCTCTCTTTCTCTCTCGCCTTCTCACCCTTCCTCTCTCTCTAAAAAGCAATAAAAACATCTTTTAAAAAAAAAAAAAAAAAAGATGGTATAAAAGATGAATGTGCCACTACAAGTAGGTAATTCTGAAAAGGAAACTTCCAAATAACAAATAAATATCTTAAAATTTTTAATCATACTAAAGCATTTATAATATAGTTTAAAATTAAAATGATAAACTTTCTTTCCCTGTCAAAATAGCATAAGTAAATAATTATTGTGTCAGTGAATGTATGAAGGAACAGTAGTCTCATATATTACTTGTGGAACTTCAAACTTTTTGGAAGGCAATTCAAGAGTATTTATCAAAACCCCTAAAAATATCTATAGTGAATAGCCTTCAAGATAAAAGCTATCATTTCCTTTTACCTGTGAGCA